CAGGTCTCCAGCTGCAGCTTCTGGTTTCAGTCTGACCTGCTGCAGGAATCAGAGCCACTAAATCCTGGATGAGTTTCTCTGGTCAGAGACTTTAGTCCTCTGGGCCTGAAATGTTCTCCTAGAAGGACCACTGAGGAACCGGAGGGTCAGGTCAGAGGTCAGAGGTGAGTCTTATCTCTATTCTCCAGCTGGAAGAACTGAAGCTGACTCTAAATTTATATGTCTAGATCTATAACTCCAAATCTATAACTCCAGATCTATAACTCTAGATCGTTCCTCTTTAAGTCCAAACTTAACTTAAGTTCAGAGCCTGGATGGGTTCAAAGGTCACCTCAAAAATCATCTGTTTCTGGAACCAGAACCTCAGCCAATCAGAACCAGCTAAAGCATCTTAACTGTAGAATCTGTAGAAGGTTCTGTTGGTTCTGCTGGTACCAGTGGTTCTGCTCACCTTTGGGTCCCTTCAGCAGCTTGACCTGTGCGATGCGTTCGCTGGGCGGTCGGCGCCGCAGCACGTAGAGTCGGACCACAGGCCCCGCCTCCTTCAGTGCCTCCACAGCCAATGAGTGAGAGACTTCCCGGACATCAACGTCGTTCACGAACACGATGCTGTCGTTCACCCTGCAGAGGTCGGACCGGGTCAGAACCAGAACCTCACAGCTGCTGTAGAACCTAAACCATGTTGGACAGAACCTGGACCCCCAGGTATCTGAACCGTTTCTGGTACCGATTACTGACCCAATCAGAGGTTCTGAGCTGAACCAGCAGCAGCTCTCTGTCTGGTTCTGGCATCAAACTGGACCAATCAGAAACCTCTGATCTCTGTTGGGTCAAACATCCAGTCAGAAGAGAACCGGTTCTGAGTAGTAGTTTGGTTCTGCTTACCGGTTCCATAACGTATTTAATTAAAAGGAAGAAATCCTCCAACAGCCATACAGCCTGAAACCGATTGGTAGCGTTTGATCCGTTGCTTAGCAACAGCGGTGACTGAGGGGGCGGAGCTTGGAGCATCTCCATGGAAACGTTAAACTCCTCTGGTTTTTATTTTAATGTTACTGAATGAATAATCTCACGTTAACATCTGTTATATTGAATAAATTAGAATATATTTTCAAAGATTATTTATTGTATTAGCATAAAACCTGCTGAAAGTTTCATTTCATGTTAAAATGTTTGATTCTTATTGTTTAAAAAACTTTTAATTTAGTTTAGATCAAATACAACATGGTGCATATTCTAAGTTAATGTCCTAACTTAATAAAAATCAATTAGAATATTGACAGGAAATCAAACTGATAGATTCTCATTAATTCCCTAAGCAGCAGAGCAGCCGTAATGACCGAGACCCGTTCGGGTCAGAACCGGTACCTGAGGCGTCCGTCCTGGGCGGCGGCTCCTCCTGCGATGATCTTGGTGATGAAGATGGACGGGTCGTCTCCGATGTGCGGGTTGTCGGTTCCGCCCGCGATGCTGAAGCCCAGACCAGAGTTCCCCTGGAGAGAGGGAGAGGTTCTGATGGGACCGGTTCTGATGGAGGAAAATGGACCAGACCTGGTTCTGATTCATCCAACTGTGTCCAGCTCTACATGGTTGGTTCTGATGGTTCTACTGGAGTACTGAAGGTTCTGTTGATCTACATGTTCTTTTAGAACCCGACCAGAACCCATCAGAACCCTCCCTCCAGTCTCTGTTTGGTCCAGAGGCCATCAGGGAACCAACATCACTGCTTTGGTTCTGCTGAAAACCAACCAGAACCAGAACCTCCTGAGCCGCTGCTGGTCCAACAGATAAACCACCAGAGATGATGATGATGATGATGCAGTTCAGTGATGAAGGCAGTGAACTGATTAGTGTGGCAGTGACTCATGCTATCCTCATCCAGCAGTCGGCGCCGGTCCGACTCGGCCCGGTTCTGTTTGATCATGACAGCAGCTAAAGATAACCTGGTTCTAAAAACAGAACCGCTGAGGATATTTATGGACCAGAAGGTTCTGGAACAACATAGATCTATGTGGTACAGAATAGAACCAGCTGTTACTGGAATGTATTTCCTCAGCCTCTCCAGAGTGATCTAGATGTATTACCAGGGGTGAAAGTAGGGGGGTACAGTCGGGTACCGCTACCCTGAAAGATTTACCGTGGGGGTCCGCAGTAACAGAGGGGAGCGGCTGTCTGCTGTAAAGAATCAACGGGTTCATTAATCAGCTCTGACTGTTTAGTTTTTCAAGAACAATCCAAAACAAGAATTAATCAATTAATAAATAGCTTTTCCCCTCATTTCATATAGTTTGTGAACTGTTCTTTGTTAGATCAGGGCAGCAACACGTCTGTCTCAGCATCAGGTGACAAACTGAACGCTGCTGAGACCAGGAGGTCCTCTGATTGGCTTAAAATGTAAGTAACTTTACTAAAGAACAACAAAAATCAACAAGACGTGTTCAAATTAATGACCC